GCTCCCACAGGGGGAGCTCTGCTCAGCCACAAGCCAGGCTGATGGCTGCCAGCACAGTGGTGATGGCGGGAGCCTCTTCCATCTCCTCAGCAGCGCTAAAGATGTCTGACTGCAGCTTAAGCCTGCTCCCTGCTGGCAAGTGGACATCCCCCGAGGGCTCCCAGGCTACCAGAGGGATGTCTGACTGCAAGCTTAGGCCCAATCCCCCGGGGAGCAGGCCTAAGCCAGCAGGGGGACATCCCCCAAGGGGTCCCAGAGTGCAAGAGGGCACAGGCCGGGCTGAGGGCCCCCCCCCCCCAAGTGCACAAATTTTTGTGCACCGGGCCTCTAGTAATAAATAATACAAGAGCTGTTTCACATACTCACAATCTAGGTAAATTTTAAGCACTTAATGATGCATACATAGGCAAGCCCGACTTTAAGATTAGTGTGTGCTCCAAAAGCAAAGTTATATTAATCAGCAGTTTTCAAAGTGCATGTCTAGGAACTCTCTCCAATGGGTGCTTCTGAGAATGGAGGCAGGAGAGTGAGTGGATGTGTAGTAGTGGGCTGAGCACATTATTATTTCTCTTATAATTTGATCCAAAACTTACTCGGAGAAGAGGTTCCTTGAGCTGCTTATAAAAGGGTTGAAACTAAATGATGATTAAAGCTAGTGCAGAAAAATCCCAGTGAGTTCATAGCACAACACAGCTGATCGAGCACAGTAATCATACCAAAATCCAACCACCCTCCCTAACAGAGTCTTTTTGGAAAAATGTGAATTCTAAGTTGGGTCCCAGAACACAGGTCATCCTGGGTCCAAGCAGGCAGGAGCCAGGCCTTCTCTTCCTTCTTACCCAGTGCCTTTGTCTTCTGCCCTGGAACAAACACTTATACTTCCATGAGGACTAAACCAACAGTAAGGGGGTGAGAAGAGGGTGGAGAGGGCCTGTGGGTATTCCAGAGTGGGGGAGATGGGGGCTCCAGCAGGGAGTAAGACACAGTGGGTTTCTGTGAGTCAATCACTACCCCAGACCCTGCCCCAAACCTCACCAGCCTCCTTGCTAGAAATTACATGTGCAAAGCTTACAAACTTCACATATGTCCAGGCCTTTTAGGAATGAGGAAGAGAAAGTCAGTGGAACCGTTTAAAGAGAAGAAAAAGGTATACCTATGTTCTGTAAGACCAAATTTAAAAACAACATATAAAATTAGAAAACAATTTTTTAAAAGAAAATTCTAAGAAAGCATTGCCTGAACTTGCCCCAGAAGAATTCTCTGAATTAAGAGGCACTGAGTATATTCATCCCTCCCTCCACACAGAGCTTCAATTATTCGATTCAACCAGGACTGAATACATAAAAACATTTATAAACATAAACCACTGGATTTTTTGAGTTTCCATCATGAACCTTGTGTAAGTCTGTCAAAGATTCCCTTTGTTATACAGTTTTGACCAAATGCAAGAGACTTTAGTCATTTCCTCAGAAACAGACGTGAGCTATAAATACGAACAAACCAACACAGCCAGTCACTCACAAAAAGGCTCACTGAAAAGTTTAATTTAAAAACAAGAGCACATTATTAAACTAAAAAAATAAGCCATAAAAAAATCGAAACCCATGCAAACAACATTCTTAGCAGAAAAACTCAGTGTAATGACAAAGATAATTACAAATAACTTTTTATTTGACTCCTAAATTTTCCTATACAGAATTTTCAAAAACAAAAATAAAAAAAGTCTGTATTTGTGTTCACTTAATAAAGCAAACCATTGACATCCTGCCCAAATCTCAGAACATACATTCCAAGAAAATCCTCCAAACCATTAAATAAATGGCTTCTGTATATCCCTTTGTGATAGAAAACACTACTATTGCTTATTTTCAAAATCCCTTTAATATTCTAATCTAATTCATGACCTTTATAACTGAGAGTAACATGTTAAGACATAATAATTAGGAAGTGAAGTTACTATTTATTATAATAATATCATATTTCTTAATTTGAAACTAAACCAAAACCCAAAGTCTCTATTCAGGTGTGACATAGGCATCTAAAGCAGGCATCTGAACACAGGGCAAATATGGCCTGCCACCTATTTTTGTAAATAAAGTTTTATTGAAACATAGCCATGCCCATTTACTTACATATTGTCTATAGCTGCTTTTTAAAAATTATTATTACTAGTGCCCTGGTGCACAAAATTTGTGCACATTAAAAGGGAATTAATTAGAGGAAATATTTTAATATTGCTATTTGCCCTTTCTTTATAATATAAGTATCAGAGATGAAAGAAAATTAGTAAAATGTGTATGAAAATCTCCCTCCTGTCAGAGTCTGGGGTGCGCCACGAGACCCAGAGTCAAGTCCCCGCCCATCTGCATGTGCTTCGAAATCACACAAAACCCAGACTTGGCCAGCCCCACCCATCAAGCCCCGCAGGGCAGGAGGCACCAGCCTCAGGCCCCCATCAAGTCCCGCCAGGCAGGGGGGGCACAGCCTCAGGTCCCCCGGCCCCAGCGCCTGGGCAGGGGTGTGGTCTCAGGTCCTCTGGGCCCAGCTTCAGGTCCCCTGGCCCAGCGCTGGGGTGGGGGGCGCGAGGGCACAAGGGCATGACGACCATTTGCATATTAGCTCTTTATTATATAGGATTATTATTATTACTAGAGGCCCAATGCATGAAGATTCGTGCAAGAATAGGCCTTCCTTCCCCTGGCTGCCGGCACCGCCTTCTGCCTTCATGTGCTGCCTAGAGGCCTGAAGCGGCCAGGGCAGGATGGAATGCCTGCGTCATTGCCATGGCGACGATGCAAGCGTCCCAGCCCGGCCGCCGCCATCTTTGTCGCATCAATTTGCATATTCTCTCCTTATTGGCTGTGGGTGCTGCCATCTTTTGTCACGAAGTGATGGTCAATTTGCATATTCTGTATTAGATAGAATTTTTTTCTTTTAGAGAGAGAAACTTTAATTGATTGCCTCCGACAGAGGATTGAACCTGCAAACTG